CAAAGTTTGAGCAACTTTTTCTTAACCAAGCAGACTTCTGACAACAGTTTTTGAATACCAGTAGAACATAAAAGTGTCAGATTTTCTGCACCATTAATCCTTAACGTATTTTTGTATAATATCCACTCCTTTTAAAAATGTGTTAAAATTAAACTTACATTTAAATCTCTTTAAGCTCCTGACAGTTATCCCATCCCGACTGGTTGTTAAAAACAAGGAAGTCCCAGACTTAGTTCTGCCTTTTATTATTTAATTTTGGATATCTGTGCAAATTTTTGTTCATCCTAGAATATTTCCACTCTGTTGGCGCTATGATCAGAGACTTTTTATCCCACCTCCCTGGGTCAGTTTGTTTTAACTCAGTTTTTTCCAGGGTTAAATAGATAGGTTTAGCTTGTTGTTTGTTTCTGCTGCCTTGGAACTTCCAGTTCCTTGTATGAGGTTTTATGTGATGTTGCAAAAGATGTGTGTGTATCTTCTCTTGTGAGATGGGAAGAGGGGGAAGGATCTGAAAAAGGGAATAATATACACCAAGGAAATAAAGCACAATTCTCTAAGAAGAGGAAGGAGCGAGTGGATGAAGAAACATCTACATGCATCGATTCTGGGAATGAAGGCCACCTGGAAAGAGAAAACTCAAGATATCTCCGTTTGGTTTTGGAGAAACATTTGCAGAAACAAATGAAACAAAAAGTCATAGAAACTGTCAGTACTTTCAGCCAGTTCAGTTTGGTCTTAGATTGAATAGCAGTGATTTTGAATCTGTGGGTCCCCAGATGTTTTGGCCTTCAACTTCCAGAAAGCCTAACAACTGTTAAACTGGCTGGGATTTCGCGGAATTTTATGCCCAAACCCCTAGGGACCCACAGGTTGAGAAGCACTGGAATGTTCTTTTTCTTTCTCTGAAAAATTGTATGCAAATAATAATAATAATAAAAACTGAGTGAAGTTTGGCACAGGATTTGGGGAATTGCACTTTGTGAGAATACTGACTGAAAAGTGAAGAAAAAGATATAGCATATAGAGAGACATGTTATTCTCCTGGTAATCCGGAACACAGGAAATGACAAGACTTTAATACGCAGAATTGAACATCTGGAGTTCAAAGTTACGTGGAAGACAGAGGAGATTCACATGAAACGAGAAGTTAGAATTAAGCTCAGGACTTTGGAAAAGGATTTGTCTCTCTTCAATGGATTGCCTGTATACCTGTGCAACATGAGTGTTCTAAATGTAAACAGGGTGTGGTTTTCACCATTGTATATGCTTCTGCCAACCTAGCAGTTTGAAAATATGCAAATGTGAGTAGATCAATAGGTGCTGCTTCTGCAGGAAGGTAACGGCACTCCATACAGTCATGCTGGCCACATGACCTTAGAGGTTTCTATGGACAATGCCGGCTCTTTGGCCTATAAATGGAGATGAGCACCACTCCCCAGAGTTGGACATGACTAGACTTAATGTCAGG